AGGGCATAGGTCCTATATCCTCTCAAAAAAAAGAAAAAAAAAAAAAAAAAAAAAAGATGCTGCCCCAGTATAAGGTGCAAGAACACATGTCCACCAAACTCAAAACACATTTAAAGATCTGTCAGCCAAACAAGACAACTGTGATCTATATTTGGACCACGGTAAGTAAGTTTGTAACCCCTAGTGAATCAGGTCCTTCAAGTTACCTATGAGGAAACAAAGCCCCTGGAAGTTAACTTAGACACGATGGAAGGATGCAAAAAGACTAAATGGGCTGCTAATAAGAAAGAGTGACATGGGGCCAGCAGGTGGTGTGGTGGTTAAGGTATTGGGCTCCCACATGGCTAACCATGGTTCTAGTCCTGGACCTGGTGGCTTGCTTTCTCACTTTCCCTCTCTGTCTCTCTCTGGTCAAATTAAAATAATAATAATAAAATTAAGTATTTTTTAAAAAAGAGTTTATTAATTACCCACCCTGTACTGGACAGGCACACGCTAGATCTCAGTTAAACCTCACAAGTACTCTGACGTGAGGGGCAAGCTGCGAGGCAGACTGCAGGCCAGCCTGAAACATACGAGCCCCTCCTTCCTAATAGAGATGTAGCTGGGCATCTGATCTCTTGGCTGACAGTGCATTTCCCGGGCCCCCTTGTAGAGCGATGGGACCACGCATCTTCGTTCTTGCCAACAGAACGTGGGTAAGACAGTGGCTGTGCTTCCTGCACTTTCTGTCCTTCCCTGCCACTGGACACATCAATGGGGTGCAATGGAATCTGGGACCACCCTAGTCTTGGTACACTAAACCAGGGGTTGGCAAACTACAGCCTTTGGCCCAAACACAGTCTACTGTCTATTTCTGTAAGCAAAGTTTTACTGGCACGCCAGCACCCCCACTAGTTTATATATCGCCTATGGCAGCTTTCCGGCTAAGACGGCCTAACCGGGCACAGCGCGTTCATGTTATTCATGGTTGGCATGTCCTATAACATGGCCACCAACACCGAATCAGCAAATGCCGAGCCAGGTCAGATTCCTGCAAGCCTCTGGTGACAAATTTTCTTTATCAACTGATGCATACAAAGTCTTGCTTTGTTTGTTTCTGTTGAAAGAGATCTTATTTAAGATATATTGTTTGGGGCCAGCAGGTGGTGTGGTGGATAAGGGCACTGGACGCACCACATGGCTGACAGCAGTTTGAGTCCCAGACCTGGCAGCTTGCTTCCTTGCTTTCTCACTTTCTCTGTGTCCCTTTTTGGTCAAACTAAACTAAATAAAGTTAAATAATTCTTAAATTAAAAAGAAATATTATATATATATATATATAATTTCTTTTAGTATATATATTGAGGACCTGCAACATATATATTTCTTAATATATATATTGAGGGCCAGCAGGTGACATGAAGCGTGAAGGTGGTCGAACCCCACATAGTCAACTGCACAGTTCAAGTCTGAGACCCAGTGACTTGACATTGAGTGTGGGTGTATGTGTGCCCAAAATCCCAAGAGAATGGAGAAGTGAGTGCAGCACGGCCACGCCCTCTGGGGGTGATTTCTCACTTTCCCTCTCTCTCCCTCTGTCTCTGGCAAGTGCACACGCCCTCTAGCCCCCACCTCCAAAAAAAGATCTATGGCTGACTCATTAACATTCAAGTCATGGCCAACAGCACCTTGTAGTGCTGAGTTATATGACGCCTGAACAAAGCTTATGTAACAAACCTGTTTTCTCTGTAAGGCACATCACCGCCTTTCTGCACTGAGAACGCCAGGCAGCACTTCAGCACTACACGCGGGGGCCACTTGAAACAACAAAATCACCAATAAAGAGCAAAAATTATGTGGCACTAAATAGGCCACAAAAAGGACATTTGTTTACAGGATGATAGCGGAAAACGGGAAAGCACATCACTTGTTCAACCTTGGCTGGTAATGTGGGGCCGCGTGACTCAAATGTGTTTCTGCTACTTTTCATTTGCCCTTGAATGACTGCAACACTGTAAGCATTGATTTGGGGGTTACAAATACATTTTAGCCAGCAGGCGAATTCACAAGTATGGGATCTATAAATAATGAGGATTGATTGTAGTTGGAGCAGAGACCATATGGCCCACAAAATCCAAAGTATTTATTACCTGACCCTTTATAAACAATCTGCTGACCCCCGTTCCAGCCTGTTAGTAAAAAAAAAAAAAAAAGAAGAAGAAAAAGAAAAAAAAAGTACAAGTAAACTTTCTTGTTCTTGAAGCCACGAGGTTTGGGGTTTCTTTGTTATAGCAGCTTCTTATGCCCTAATACTGGCTATTAAGAGTAACCTCTTCCTATGGTCGGAAGTGGCATGGAGATTAAGGCACTAGATCACATAAGGCTGGCTACATGGTTTGAGTTCTGGACCCAGCAGCTTGAAAATCACACCAGGCATATGTGCTTGTATGCCCAAAATCCTGAGAGAGACCGGTGAGGGGCCTGAGGCATGTCCAGCCCCCAGGGAGGTTATTTCTCACTTCCTCACCTACTCTCTGGCAAGTACATGCACCTATAACAAACAGTGAAGGAGAAAGAGTATGCTCTTCCCATCACGTGATGCCATCTCATTTCACTATTCACAAATGGCATGTTTTCAAGCTGCAGCAGCCAGGATTTGAACCACAGTTGGCCATATGAGATCTGGCTTTTCTTTCTTTCTTTTTAGAGAGTGTTTTGCTATAAGGCATGTGAGACACAGAGACAGAGACAGAAGTGAGAAATCACACCCCGGGAGGATGGTCACACTGTAATCCCTTCTCCTCCATTCCCGTCTTGGGACTTTGGCCATGTACATACATGTGCCCAGTGTGTTTCAAGCTGCTGGGTCTGGGATTCCTACCAGGATCAACCACATGGGAGTCCAGCCCTTTAACCACTACACCACACCACCTGCTGACACAGGGATCTGGTTTCTTAACCGCTAGGCTGCAGGGCTGGCCCACAACTCTTCATTTTCAGCAAGCTCTGTAGTGACTCTGCATTCTAAAGTTTGAGGATCACTGATAAGCAGTAAGCGTGAAGGCTATTGCCCTGGACCTCTCTTGTGAACTCTGGGTTGATGCTCTAAGGCAACTAAAAAGGAGAAATAAGATGAACACCCTGCTTGATGTCCAGCTCCCCTTCCTCCACTTCACCCTGAGGCGCACTTGACACCTCATGTTTCTTGTACGCACAAGCTCCCGGGCTGCAGGGAGGATGAACTGAGAATGCAGCAAGGCAGCACGGAGCAGTTTCTCAACATAAGGCACTTTTCTTCGCCTTGCCTAGGCAGCAAACGTTATTTAAGCCCTCGCATAATATCACCAATTCCAGAATTCTCTTTACAGACTCCCAAGGGTTCCCAACGTAATGTTCAAGCTACAAGCGTCGGTACCCTATAGGAAAAGTTTCCCATCTGGGTATATTTAAACCACACCTATGGGCTCCCCTCCCCTGCGGGGTCCCCCCTGCGTACCAGTGCCCCGGTTTCAATCCCCTCCCTCTTGTACCCGCCTTATTTGGGATACCCGATTCACTTCCGCGTCTTCCACTCTCGGCTCCCCTGGGCTTTAGTGTCCCCCGCACCCCACCTGGCGCCTCGAGCTCCCTAAGGTTCGGTTCCCCTATCCTACTCCTAAACGTGGGCTTCCCGTCCTGCCCCCTACCTGCGGGTCCCCCCTCGGGTCCCCTCACCCCTCGCGGCCCCCTCACGTCCTCCCCTGGACCCCTCCTTTCGCTTTGGGCGGGCCGACCCGCTCCCCGGAGCCGGGAGAAGACCGCTAAAGACGTAGCCCGGCCCCCAGCTCCGCTCACCTCTAGAGCGACGCCCAGATTCTCCCGCTTCTTTTTAGTCATGTTACTCTCGGGGCTCTCCAGTCATCACTGGGCGCGCCCACCAAGTCTCACTACGCACGCGCAAGCGTTCGTAGTGCTCCCTCATTGGCCGCCGAGGCGTCGGGGGCGGGGCTACTGGTGGTCGCCATCTTGTTGAGGGGCGCGGCCACGTTGGCCGGCCATGTTTGTGAGGGGCAGCGAGTAGTTTGAGGCCTCAGCCTGGGAATGAAGAGAGGGCAAGCGGGTCGGTTCTCCGGGTGGAACAGTGGCCGGCCCGGGGTAGAGCTGCCCTGCTCCTTCTCAGTTCAAAGCCACGGTACATCCCTGAGAGCCTTTTATGACATCCTCTCTTTTCCTGTGCCCTTCATCCTTCGGGAGCCACCCTGACCACCCTATCCGGTTGGTTTTTTTGGTTGGTTTGCTGTAGGGCGCTGTGGGCTGGCTACAGAGAGAGAGGGAACGTGACACATCACCTCCCAGGGAGGATGGCCGTGCTGCAGTCCTTTCTCCATTCTCCTGGGGATTTGGGGGCACGCTCACAAATCAACCCACCGGTCTGGGCCTCAAACTGTTGACTTGGTCATGTGGGATCATGTGGGATCCAGCTGTCTTAACCTCGGCACCACCTGCTGGGCCACCATACCCAGTTGTAGGCCATCCCTCTGCCTATTCGAATTCTGTCAGTCCTTCAAGGCCTAATCCAATGCTCCTTCCGGAAGACCTCATTTGGAAGCTCTCTGCTCTTTGGGATCTGATGAAGACCTGTTGTCATTCCTCCTCTTTTGTCTTGTTTCACTCATTTTTCTTGTTTTATTGTAAGGATGCCTACAAACATCACAAAAACTTATGAAGAGCAGCAGCTTTTGTCCTACCAATCTTCCTTTTGTCTCTGTGTGTTCCGTTCCAGGCTTGACCCCACACATAGTATTTTATAATGTAATCCTATTATACAGTATACTGTAGACCTGTGGTCTTTGAAATGTTTTGGCTGTGATCCCATGATTAAAGTCATTACAGTCATAATGCATTTTTGCACAGAAAAATGAAAAAATACGTCATGACTTTATTTTTTTTGGAGAGGTTTTTGCTACAGGACACATGCCGCTCACCAGAGAGACAGAGAGAGACAGAGAAACAGAAAGTAAAAAATCACCCCCTGGGGGGATGGCCACACCACAATCCCTTTTCCTTCATTCTCCTCTCGGGATCATGGGCACGCACGCACATGCACCTAGCCTGAGTTTAAGCCACCGGGTCTGGGACTCGAACCACGGTCAACTACGTGGGAGTCCAGCGCGTCATGACTTTTCTGATGACCCAATATATGGCCCAGTTACCCATATAACTGAAATGCAAGGTCTACGTAGGTACCTTTTGTGATGCACTCTGGTATTTTCTATTCTAGCCTAGTTAGAAAATTAAAAAAATAAATAAATAAAGAGCTTGGTAGCAAAAGACCTACTAGGCTTATTTCATTGCCTTATTAATAGAACTGCAATTTCAAAAACACTGTCATACAGCCAAAGTTGTCAGAATCAACATGGAGTCACCGGTCAACTCATGTCCAACTATGACAAAATGGAGGCGGGAAGGCCATGAAGTATCACAAGGACTCTTCCATAAGCACAATCTTGCATGAAGGTCACTGCAACCTTACAGAAAATACTTCTCTGAGGACGTCTGCTCAGCAGTTGCCTAGGCAACCTTAGACAGACACCACCCTTGTTATCAATCCTTGTAGCCAAGGATATTTGTCCCCAATTTATGTAATCCCTTCCCTTTTTTCTTTTAAAACCCTTGTCTCCCCTTACCTTCCTGAATGTACCCATATACATATTTTGCACTGCAGTGCCCATTCTCGAATAGGTATTGTTTTCTTTAGAGTTTCTCTCTCTGTTAGTTAGGTTTGACAATAGACATGTTTCCATGTCTTTGAAGTCATTATTTGTGATGGCTGCATTTGCCACCAAGTGATATGCCAGTCTAGTATTGGACATTATTTTATTGGACAGTATCTCTAAATAGTGCTAAAGCAAACATCTTTGTGCACAGAGGTCTTCTGGATTCCTTATTTAAGATAAATTCACAGAAGTGGAATTACCAGGTCAAAGAGTATGAGACCAGAATTGAAACTCCTTGTTTCCTGAACCGTTATCTCTCTGTTGGCGTCTGTGTTTCTCTGTGTGAATAATAACCCCAACTCAATATCCGGGGCAGGGGGGGGGATGTTTTCAGATCTATGTTCTCTTCTTGATGGAGTCGTTGAGTGATGGAGCTGGAAGGGCTCTGTGATACCATCTCGCCTGGCTGCCTGACTGAGGCCCACAGAGGCAATGTGTAGTAAATTCTCTCTGAACAGAAAGTAGACTGTTGAGGAGCTGTTTAGTACAGTTCTGAGCTTAGCACTCAGCAAAGGAAAAACTTACTCAAGAACACTGTCCGTCCACAGTGAATCAACATTTTATGGTCAGAACACTCTTAACAGCATTGGTTCCAGCCCCAGAAAAATCAGACTCTGTGCTTCCCAGTTATCACAGGCCCCAGCCTAGGGGAGGTGAGAAGAGGAGGAAAAACCCCGGTCATTTAGACATGGCTCCTTCCACATCTGGCACCACGAGAAAGCCACAGAGATATGGGTTTGCTTTGGGTCAGTCTCTTACATTTCTCCTATTCCTCTGAAATGATGAGCAAGATGTTGTCTCTCTCCCCAAAGAGGCTTATATTTTCCCAACCAAAACTTGTCCCACTGGTCTGATAATGGGACAGAATGGGGATGGAATGAGAGTCTACATAAGTTGTGAGACGAGGGGCTTTTACGGTAAGGCCGGACGGAGCCAGCTCTGCCATTAGCTGCATTAGCATTAGTATGATGGGGGACAAGATGTGTCAGCCCGCTGAGCCTCGGTTTCCACATCTATTAAAAGACCCTGTCACACCAGGCTTATGGGACTCTTGTGAGAATTTCCAAGAAGTTGGTACTATGACTTGTGAGTGACCAGGGGAGACTTGGCAGGACTGATGAGCCTGCTGCCAGCTGTCATTATAGGGTTTTACTGACCAATTGTTGCCATTTGTATTTTTAGTGATTTTTTTCCCCATAGGGCGCATGTACTCAGTGGAGAAAGAGAGAGGAAAAGAGAGAAATCACCCCCAGCTGGGATGGCCACACCACAATCCCTTCTACTCCATTCTCCTCTAGGAATTTTTGGGCACACTGGGCATTTTTGAGGCCACCAGGTTTGAGACTTGAACTGCAGCCAGCCATGTGGGATCCAGTGCCTTAACCTCCATACCACCTGCCGGCCCGTCTCGTGATGGTTTCGATACCGATTTCTATTGGTGGCTTTGCCGCTACAGTACAGTAGCTGTTGTTACGAGTTTGGGGAAAATACTGGGTTGTCACCTGTGATTAAAGGGTGCATAGTTTACTGCAAAAGACAGCTCCCCACATACACGAGAGTCTCTCTACAGAGGGGAGACACCCCTCCACCTCTCTCTGCTTTTCTTTCCTG